CTGTCTGTGTTTCTCTCCCTCTGCAACTCTGTTTTTCCCCTTTGTGATACATTTCTTTGTTTGATGCGAGGCTTGTGTGCCTGTGTAATTAATTTTGAACTTGATGTAAACATTTTATCTTTAAATTCTCTGAAGAGTTTATGTTTCATGTCCGGGAGTTGGAAAATTAACTAACTACTTTCGCAGTTTAAATCCTAAAAATCATTCTTCAAATTATAGGAACTATGTTATAGTTATACTTATAATTAATTCTTCTGATCATTCTTCAAATTATAAAAACTATGTTATAGTTATACTTATAAGTAACTCTACTGATCATTCAAATTGGGTTCTGAAATTCGTTTCTTTCAAAGATCACATGACACATAAAATCAATTGTTGAGATCACTTATAAATTTATTTCATATTGATTGGTTTCATTATTTTTTTCCGTCTCGTTAAATATGCTAATCATGCTAAAGTCATTTCAATATTGTTATAAACTATATAGGTTTATTATTATTATTTCAACACTAGTGACTATGCTATAACATATTATAGTAGTCATTGTCAATATTATTTTCCTAGTGTACTTAGGGATGCAACTCTTCATGCGTAAGTGCATGCGTCATTTGCAACAACTGTGCTTAAACAACATAGTTATCTTAAATTTTGTTGCTTTTGGTTCATCCATGAAACTCATATTTGTATTACCCCATCTCCTTTGTGGCGTGCCTACCATATTGCTACTCATAGCTGTATCTGCTATGATGATTCTTCTATTTAACTGTGTTCTAGATTAAGTTGGCATAGTTGTATATGATAAACTCTTTATATACATACTATACTTAACAAGTCTATTACATTAACTATACTGTTTGCTTTTATTGGTCTCTCATTTTTCTCAATTTATGTCTTGTCCAAATTCAGCAAGGTAGTACTATACATGCTGGTACAATTGTTGCTATATTAGGGTGCCTTTCAAGAGCTCCCAGGTTACCAAGCATGGATTGGGGGACAATTATTAGGCGTTGTATGAGATATGAGGCCAAGATTACTGATTCGTTAGCAAAAGATTCTGTTTGTAAGAAAGGAACTCTAAGGGAGGAATGTGTGCTGTTTGCAATAGCTCATGCAAATCAATTTGATTCACTGTTAACCTTTCTTGACGAGCTGTCCGACTTTTCCCGGTTTAAGACACTAGAAATAAATCTGCAGTGCTGTCTGCTAAATCATCTAGCTGACCTTGTAAAAGTATATTCAAACTCCAGGCTTGAGAAGCTATTTGGTGATGTGGGTTATCATTTTTGTTCATTGAATTCATACAAAGAGTATGACACCAACAAAAAATACTTGTTGCGCCTTTCTTGCTGGAAGGGTCTCTATGAGTGCCTTAATGAAGTTTCTGTGGATACTTCGAGCCACATATCACATGTTGAGAGATGCATGGAGGTTCTGTTTACCTTATTACCAGTTGTGGAATCTTCTGGCAGTGTAGTTGCCGAGGACACAAGTTCTGTAAAGGAATGGTCTGAGGCTGTAAGATGCTTAGGGAAGGCTCCACAAGGTTGGCTATTGGATTTCCTGAAGGTATGCATACATTTGATTCAATTATTTTCAAATGTTTTGTTTTGTTTTGTTGTTTACTTAAAGTTAATCGTTCTTGGCATTGATTCTAATTAATTGAGGTCAAACTTATTGGATACAAAATGTCTGTAAGTCTGTTTAAGTTATGTAACAGAAATGGTCATTTATATGCACAGGTTTCACAAGAGGAGTTTGTTCAGAGTTCATTCAAATCTATTGAAGTCCAAAAGAAGGTTCATGCTAAAGTCAAGCTTGTGAAAACTGGTTCTCTTCCACTAATTGAACTAGGAAAAATGAAATCTTACATATTAAACTCCAAATCACAAGGTTAGTATTCTGTTGTGTATCACAACTCAGATTAGTTGTGCCTGAATCGAATCAGAGTTGCTGTTTATTCATTCACTTAAAAAATGTTAGGAACTTGGCCTCATATTGAGCTTGAAATGTCAATGCTAAGGTTAAGTTTTTGCAGGAATCTGGGATGTTCTCTTGGAAGTTGCGGCTGTTTTGTATCATGCAGAGATAGGTTTTAAAAGGCAGTGGCTTATTGATGCTCTTGAAATTAGCTGCGTGACCAGTTTTCCTTCTCAGGTAGGAAACTCTCAGATTAATATCTTTATTAAAATTTGTCGGGTAGAAATTGTTTTAGCTCCTACTCACTTTATATCCATCACTTCCATTATTCTGCAGGCAGTGCAGTTTATTGGTCTGCTATCTGCTACCTGCTGCAAATACATGCCTTTTATAATTGTTGACCAACAAACGGTACTGAATGATCTACCAGTCACACTTGTGTCTCTTCTAGCAGATAAAAGCTGGAACGTTGTTGCAGAAACTGTTGTTTCCCATCTCTTTTCTTCGACAGAACGTATATATGATTGGACAATGCACATAGCAGACAGCTCTTATGTTGAAGGTTCGCAAACCATTGATGAAAGTGAGAATCATATGGGGGATTTTCTACTGCAAGTGATGCATCATACGTGTGTATTATTAAAAGAGTACTTGCCTTTAGATAAGCAGCTTAAGCTTGCTAGCATGGTTGTTGCTTGAAAGAGAATTGTGATAATTACATGACACTGCAAAAGGAAACTTGTTGCCATATATCATTTGCTCAAAGGAACACACACCAATACCATGATGCCAATGTAAAGCATTACTAACGTGGATTAGTGGAAATTGTTTCCACCAACATAACATGACTTGCTCAAAAGTTCTAGTACACTCAATTTGAGAAGCAGCTATAGATACAGGGGGGATAACCTTTGTGCTAACAATATTGCCTCTTTTGTTTTGAATGGTTCTAATTTCACTAAGTTTTTGAAGTTTCCAATCGTAGTAGATTTGGTCTTCCCGGAGTTTAGATTTAAGCAATGGTTTTTTTTTTTTTTGTATATAAATTACACTCTTTTTCTCTTCACCTAAAGATGTTGTTGTAATAGAGCCGTTGTGATGGGAATGTAAACTTAGTTGGAATGTCTATGTATTCATCTTTGACCTTACTTTATCTTTTTTATTAAGAAAAATTTGTTCATTAAGCAGAATTAATATTGTACACTTTGTTTTCTTAGACAAGCCTATTGATATTAGTACTCCCTCCGTTCTAAAATTATTGTCGTTTAGAATTTTTGCATATAAATCAAGGAATATTATACTTTTATAAAATTACCGTTGTTAATATATTGAAGTAATATGGAAAGTAAAAAGTAAATAATATAATTGAAAAAAACCGTTGTTAATATATTAAAGTAATATGGAAAGTAAAAAGTAAATAATATAATTGAAAAAACAATAATTATTACTATATTGAAAAATGAAAATGATAGTTATTTTAAAATAAAATTTATTTGTTAAAATGGGTTATTTTGAAAAAGTGAGTACCATTTTTGGCATTACTTGCAATGTGTTTATGCAATCTTGATTTTAGAGTTTGAATTGATGAAACAAAATGTCAACTACGAGGATATATCATATATGCATATCTTTCCTCTCAAATTTAATGTACTTCACTCATTTCTTTTTCATAGATGAATTTGAGACTATGATCTTGCATTATTGGTCATTTTTAGAATAAATATTTCGATTGGTTATTTTTTGAATTGCCTCCTAAAATTTGTATACTTTCCCATGTTAAAAGTTTTCAATTTTTTTCTTCATATTTAACTTAAACACCATTTGTTCTAAAATTATATAATTAATGTTAATATAGAATGACAGTAATTATTCTCCCTCTATTCCTTATTATAAAAAACACTTCACCTTTTTAAATTTATTAAATAATTAATATATCTGATCTGTTTATTTTTCTTAAAAAAATTAAGAGAATTAAATATATTTTTAACTAGCAGTATAATGGTTGGAATTTTACACATTAATAAAAAAATGTTTGAATATACTAAACTGACTTAATACCATTTTAATATGTTTAAACTTTTTTTTTATAACTAAATTTGAAAGGAATATGTGACTTTAGTTCTTTTTACCATCTTTTAGTTATGTTCTAACATGAGATGGAAAGTATTTTAATTTTTAATTCATTATTTATTTTAGTATAAAAATAGATTAAATAAATATAAATTAGAATGTAAAATTGCATATATGCATTTGTAGAAAGTATGAATAGTTTTTTTAGTACAATAAAAAATATGTTGATATACTGAATTTTAATAATTTTAAAAAATAAATTTACAAATCAATATAATTCAATTTAAGAAACATAGTGGTTAAGTTTAATCTCATAACAAAAGTATTTGAGTTAAGGGTTAAAATGAGTTGGAGATTCGGAGTTCAAATCTTAACAAAACTGTAAATATATACTAATAATTAACTATTAATAATTAGTCTTAAAAAAAATCCTCACAATAAATGTGTTAGACAACAAACTAGAATTTTATTTTATTTTTAAGAAATGCTTATAAACTTCTTGAACACCATGTTTGAATTTGATTAAAAAAATTACTTCAAAGAAAAAGTCCACATTAAAATATTTCCTAGAAATTATAAGTTTTGATAATTTTAAAAGAAAATATATCAACTTCTCTTTCAAATAATTTTAAAACAAAAAAATTGAAACATCAAACAACTTCGACGCTGCAACTTAGTCTTTCTCCGACCGCCGTTGTCTGCCACAATACGGTACGTTGTTCGTTTCCATGTCTTTCTTCTTCATGATCATGATTCCTCGACCCTCAAATTCAATCTATTCTTTTTCTCACTTCATTTTCACTAAAAATTCTTTCTTTTATTCTTCTTCATCTTCTTCTCTAATCACTCTCCATGATTCTGAGTCAAAACCAATTTCAAGTCCTTTTTACAATCTTCTTCCACCGACCCAAAACCCCAACAACATTGTAAACCTCATTTCTTCACTCCTCAAACAAAAAAGTTTCCATCTTTCCCTTTTCCAGGAAGAAATCAAAGGGATTCTTCCTCACATGGGCCCCCATGAAATTTCTAGGATTTTGCTTAGATGCCAATCTGATTACTCTTCGGCACTCACATTTTTCAATTGGGTTAAAAATGATTTGAGTATCACACACAGTGTGAAAAATTATTGCGTAATTATTCACATACTTGCTTGGTCTCAAGTTTTCCCTCAAGCTATGAAATTGTTGTCTGAATTGATACAATTGAATGTTCCTGATGAGGATATTTATAAGAGTTTGATTGGTTGTACTGAGGATTGTAATTGGAATCCTGTGATATTTGATATGCTTATCAAGGCTTATGTGAAGTTAGGTATGGTTGAGAAGGGTTTGGACACTTTTAGGAACAATGTTGAGGCTTGCTTTGTTCCTAACGTTGTTGCTTGTAATTGTTTGTTGAATGGTTTGTCGAAGTTTGATTATATTGATGAATGTTGGGAAGTGTATGAAGAAATGGGAAGACTTGGATTACATAGGAATGTTTATACTTTCAATATTATGACGCATGTTTTGTGTCGAGATGGAGATACTGATAAAGTGAATGGATTTCTCGAGAAGATGGAGGAGGAAGGATTTGAACCGGATTTGGTTACATATAACACGCTCATTAATGGCTATTGTAGGAAAAGAAGGATGGAGGATGCTTTTTATCTTTATAAGATTATGTGCATCAGAGGCGTGGTTCCTAATTTGATTTCGTATAGTGCGTTAATGAACGGTCTTTGTAAAGAAGGGAAGATCAAGGAGGCTCATCAGCTTTTTAATCAGATGGTTCAAAAAGGAATTGATCCGGACGTTGTGTCGTATAATACTCTTGTATCCGGTTATTGCAAAGAAGGTAAGATGCAAATGTGTAGATCACTATTGCACGAAATGATAGGAGCCGGGACTCGTCCTGACAGTGTCACGTGTAGGATTGTCTTTCAAGGATATGCAAAGGAGGGAAAGCTTTTGTCGGCGTTGAATTTGGTTGCGGAGCTTCAGAGATTTGGAGTTACGATTCCTGAAAATTTATATGATTATCTCTTAGTTGCATTGTGTAAAGAAGGTCGACCGTTTGCAGCTCGAAGTTTTCTGATAAGGATATCTCAAGACGGATATGTGCCCGAAATGGGTACTTACATTAAACTTGTAGAGTCTCTATGTAGATTCAATAATGTGGACGAAGCGCTGATTTTGATATCCGAGATGACAAAAAAGAGTATGAAACTTAATCTCACTACCTATAAAGCTATCATAAGTTGCTTGTGTAGAGTAAAAAGGACTTCAGAAGCTGAAGGCATGTTGGAAGAAATGGTTAGTTTAAGTATTTTACCTGATTTAGAAATAAAGAGAGCGTTAATAAATGGTTATTGTGAAGAAAATGATGTTGAAAAAGCTGTGTTGCTATTGAAATTTTTTGCCGAGGAGTTTCAAGTTTACGATACCGTTAGCTACAATGCAATTGTTAAAGTTTTTTGTGAGGGTGGTAATGTGGCCGAGTTGATGGAACTTCAAGATAAGCTTGTCAAGATAGGGTTTGTTCCAAATAGTTTAACATGCCAGTATGTTATCCGAGGATTGCAGAAAGATATGGAACTCGACGATGATATATTGGCCGCAACATGCTTGAAGTCTAAGTTGTCCCAAACTAGGGCCACTTTCGACTACTCACCTCACTTAACGAAGGTAGCGAAATTGATGGTATGATAAGTCTCTAAGCACTTGGAGAACTCTTCTGAAAGAAGAACCAAGTCAGTTAAGGATTCGGTTCCTGAGCAGCAAGTTATCTGCCGCAATTTCTACTGCGATCACGTCAACTGTTTGATAAATATAGAGTTTTTGAATGTTTGAATGAGTCTGATCTGGTCCAAATATGTGTTCAAATTGATCTATAATTGCAAAGCTCGGGTCACCATTGAAGAACCCGAACGCAATGAACAGTGTACTTCATTGCCAAGGTTTGAGACACTTACGGCTATGAATGATACATGCATTACTTCAAAGTCTAATGTTTGAAACTGAATATGCAAATTAGTGTCCACGGAAACTCTACCGGAACCAAATAAACACAAGAACAAAAATTGTCTCATGAAAGAATCATTACATTAGTATGTCATGTTGCATGCTCGCCAATGTTGCTACTTGCTATGAAAAGAAGAATTGATGAGAGTATTGCCCGATATAAATACTATAGTGAGGAATGATGATATCTAACTATGGTAGTGTCTGATACAGGTTGAAGTAACTGGTATAGGCTTGTTAATTTATTGATGCAGATTGATGGGAGTATGTGGAAGACATATAGGAAAGCTTGAAGTTGAAGATATTCTGTGTTGGACACTTGTTGAAATCCACCGCTCTCCTCGCATATTGGTAGAGTATACTCAGGCCGAATAAGTTGTTCGACGAATTAGAAGACTTTCAACCTCCAGATGTGTAACATAATATTATGGTGTTCATATTTTTGTTTATTTCTTTTTGTTTTCACAAATGTGTTTTCAAATTTTCCTGAGTCCTAAGTAATCTACCCCTGGGATTCATATTTCATAATTTCATACAAACTGTCTTTAAGGACTCTGAATACCTTATATAGTTTGGACACAAAACTATCTTCTATTGCAACATTTATTTGTGCCCTAATTTTCTCATGCTTAAATTCATAAAATGATCCATGTACTTATGCTCCTTTGAAGCTCACCCTCAATCTCATCATTTTATTTATTTATTGTAATAATTGTCTATGCAGATGATGCTATTGCCACAAATACGTCTTCTCCATTTGAAGAGGTTTTGTTTCTACTTCCCTTTGTCAGCCTCATGTCATCTCCTTCTAAATATGTGAAAGCACTGGCTACTGATTTGCTTCTCATCTTGGAGAAGCTCCTTCTCAAGATGCTGGTGGCCGTAAGACATAAACCAATCATTGATGAGGAAACTCATTATCTTAGCACACCTGGAATTATAGTGTTGAGACTTTTGCGACATCTGTGGTATCAGGTATTTTGTCTGGCATATCAGATTTTTCCTGTTTAAAATACTATGTAGATTATCTCAACAAACGATATTTATTTCTGTTCTGGATGGAAGCATTAGTATGCTGTTGCTCTGAATGAACATATGATTATATGCAAATTTGCATGTTTTGTGCTTACAAAGAGGGCATCCAATTATTGAGAATCAATACTAATTATAGTTTTGCACCCAGCAATAATTTTAGTTTAGAAATTCTATGCTTATGTTGTTTCAGGATGGAGAATCTTCTTCCAGAATTTCCCTTCTGAATCTGGCTTTAAAGGGCACGCATGAAAGTGAAGTAATGCATGATAAACCAATGTCATGGGCTTCTCATCTAAGAGGGTTCTGTTTGTCAATTGTTGAGCGTCGGAAATCTACATCGCCTCTCTTGCTTCCTCAAGAATTATTCTTAACCGGTATAACCCTTTAGCTTTTGGAAATGGCGTTAGTTAGCATAGTTGTGTTAAATGATGTAATGATGTAAGAGATTAATATTAGCTCAATGTCTTCCCTTGCAGAGACACCCTTACTCAGTGCTGTTCTCAGTGTTTTGTTGATACATCCATCGATGGGGGCTGCTGCTGTTGACTCGCTGTCTTCCATTGCCATTATGGATCCCAAACTAGGAGTTCCTTTGTTGCTAGCAATTATGTTCTACAGTAATATATTCACAAGAAATGATATCATTTGCCATGATATGCTGGTAAGTCCTCCCTTTTGCAATGGCACTTATTGTGTGGCATTATCTTGTTCTGTTGTCTCTGTCAATTGTTATGTCTGTATAATTTTTTTCCTTAACTTATTTTTAAATCTTGTTGCAGCTAAAAATCTTTGAAATGCTGCCATCACTTGCTTCACACTCAGCAATGACTCCACTTGTAGTTCAAACAATCTTGCCAATGCTTAACAGAGATGCAAAAGGGTGGGTACTCTGTTAGATTGTGTATTTTATTTGGTATAATATTTTTTTTAAAATTTTTTTTTTGTATTAGTGTTGCCTTGCGTATCTTGTTTTTGTTTTCAACCATGTTGTACCATTGAGGTCCCTTTTTTAAAAATTCTGAAATTAAGCATCATAGTGTTAATAAAGGCCAAATTTTGTGCATAATTGCTATTCTTATCGATTATTTTCAGAAGTGTTACTGGTTTTACATATTCTTTGCGAGTGATTTGTTCTATCTGTAGCTGTGCTCATATGCCATAAAAAAGTGCTCTTTGAAATTTGGAACTCTAAATATGACTGTACAGCTGAATGTTTCTTTTCACTTCATTAATAAGATGATGTTTGGTTTTAAGATAGAGAATTCATTTTGGTTCTCATTTTTTATTCTGGCTGTAGAACTCAAATTTGGTCCTCATGTATCCTTTAAAATATTGAAACCAATGCATTTCTTCTTTAAATGTTTCTCCCAAAATGCAGCTCATTGTATGCTACGGGAACTCGATTGCTGTGTCGAACTTGGGAGATCAATGATAGAGCCTTTGGAAGTTTACAAGTGAGCTTTTTATTCCACACTTTCTTGTACTTCTCACGCCACCACATATTACTATGGGTGTATTCTATATGCATATTTATATTTATTTTTTGCAGAAGATGAGACTATTTAAATGACAACTGAAAAAAGAAATGGAATTGTTCACACGATGAATCAAAAGCTGTAAATGTTTGTTAAAAATTATCTTTAAGGAAGGTTGAACACATTGACGCAGTAGCAGCATTCCATTCTCTAACTCTTCATTATCTGTTGATATATTGTATTAAACTGCTATTGAAGTCAAGGTGTAGTTGGTTTACTATATATGCTATCTCTCAAGAGCAGATCCGATTCCTTCATGCCTCGAATTTCTGACAACAAATTTGCACTTTTTCCGCACCAGTATACTGTATTGTTGACTAGTGCAGGGTCATAAAAAGTTTTGCCCAAATTTACTAGTTTTACTTGCAATCTGATAACTTTTGGTTTTCCTGTATTTTCTTTCTGGGCTGCCTATTTCAAAGCCTTTTGCTGTTGAGTTACCAATTTTGTTTACTCTTTAATACGGTTTCTTGCTGTTTCTTCAAGGTCTTACCATATCAAACTTTTCCTAAATTTATTATATTTTCTCCATGTCTAGGGTGTCTTGCTTCCAAAAGGTTTCACTGATTTCACATCAGACAGAGCTATCTGTATCAGTTTGGCTGCTTCATTCCGAGATGTTTGCCATAAAAGCCCTGATAGGGGTGTTGATCTTATCTTGACTGTTTCGGTATGCCTGGCGCTTTTCTTTTTTCTCCCTTTCCAGTGCATGTGTTTTTTTCCTAAGAAATACTTGTTTGTATTGAATAAAAACAGTCTTGCATTGAGTGTCAAGATCCTATAGTTAAAGCTCTCGGCTTGCAAAGCCTTGTCCACCTTTGTGAAGCAGATGTGATTGGTAATGGATGTCACTATCAAAATATATATAACAAAATAATAACATATTAAGGAATGTTTACTTATTCATGAAGTCTTCATAGTAGATTGCCTACTTTTATTTTACTTTTTTAATGTAAAATGTAAGCCTTCTAAAAGGGAATACTGTATCATGTGTCTAGATTTTTACACTGCATGGGATGTCATTGCAAAGCACGTGCAAGGTTATAAAGGTGATCCTATTATTGCACATAGGTAAGCATGTCTAAGGCTCTAATCAGGCATATATTGTGAGACTAACTATAACATCGACGGTGGTTTAATTTTATCCAGAAGAATAGAAGGCATGGTTTAGTGCCTAAAATATTTGAAGTTTAAAATCCTGGGCTTTTGTCATTCATTTGGTTTTTAAAATTTTTGGGTTTTTTTATAGAACTTCTTTTAGGTAATGAACTTTACGTCTGTATCAGACTTCGATGGAATTGTTTTCTCCCCTTGATTAATATATGTTTCCAAATATTCATTTGTTATCCTGAATAAAAGTCACTTCCTGTCTTATGGCAGCACTTGCCTTCTGCTAAGGTGGGGTGCAATGGACGCAGAAGCATATCCAGAGGCATCAAAGAGTGTGCTGTTAAATCTTTGGGATTTAGTTACCTCTAGCCATGGCACAAAGTGGGAAAAAACAAAAATTGCAGCCCTGGAGGCACTTATTCAATATGAAGTATAACATTGATGCAACCCTTGCTCTACTTGAATGGACAACTAATTTTTGGTTTAAAAATAAGTAATTTACTCTTTTTACATTAATAACTGTGTTTTCAATTTCTAGGTGGCGCAACTTGAAAAAAATGTTCCAGATTTTAAGAAAATGAATTTGGAGCTATTCTTTTCTGAGACAAGTCCCACAGTACTCAAGGTTATGGAGGATTTTCATGTCAAGATTATAACATATGAACACATGTAAGTATTAAATCCCATGAAGCACGGACTCCGACATGAACACTTGGACACGACACAGACACTCCGATACTGTTAATGTAAAAAACATAGGACACTGACACCGCTACATATATGATATTATTTGAGCTTAATTTATCCATCTATTATTAAGAGTTAAAAATATTCTAATCAAGATTAATGTCTTTAATTCTTCATTGATAACATTGCTTCAATACATGTTTAACTTTTTTTAGATGTGTGTAGGTTTGTTCCAACAGAGTATAAGGTGTGTTGAAGAAAAGAAAAAATCAACTATTTTTTTAAAGTAATTGTCAGACACGTTTGTATGAGTTGGGTCCAATATAAAAATCTAATACGGTATTAGAGCCTATTCAATCAGGCTACCCACCATTAGTATCCACGTATCAAGCCCAATAATGTTTAATAGAGATAAGGTTTGAAATAAGTTTATAAAGACTGACACCCCTCACCTTACGAGACATTACTTGAGTGGTGTCTCTATTGTGGCTTGTAACGTGAGGGGTGTCACTCTTTATAAAAACCTAATAATCCTACAATCCAGTTACTGATCTGCTGAACGCGATAGTATGATAAAATTGATATTTTTCCATTCATTTGCTTTAGCAATCGTCGAAGGATAGTCAAGGGAAAAAGAGTTGCAGGAAGTAAAATTGAAAAGTTGATGGATGTATTTCCACAAGCCATATTCTCTTCAGGTATTGTGGTATTGGCTGTCATTTTGTGTTTTTATTTCCTTCAAGAATACTTGTGAGAAAAAATTCAGATCAGCTTGTGGAAAAGTAAAATAAAATGCTTGAGTTGTGTTTCTTTAATCTGCCATACATGTATAAAATGAAGAAAAAACAATTTATTTTTAGAATTTTCTGAAATCTGAACAAAACTGAGTGCTTTCATAATCGAAAAAGTAAGTGGTTCCTTCAGTGGAATGGTGGAATTTCTGCCACTAATTATTTTTATCAAACTTTGTCTGGTTTAATGTAAATTTCAGATGTTATTTGAAAAAGCTTTGATATGTAAGCATTATCTTTGCAGGAAAGATAAATGAGGCTATCGAATTACCTGGTGCAGCTTTATTGTGTTTTTCTTTCACTCCTAAAAATGTGAATGAACATCAGGCATCAAAAGTAAGATATCATTACATTAGATATATTCTCTTTATACTTGACTGCACTTTTAATCTGATTTTATGAGCATTTAGAGGCCAAGATATGTACATGCTGCTTATGAGAATGCTCTCAAGGAAATGGCTGATTCTCTTCACCTTTCAAGAAATATCTTGCTTGCGCTTATGTCATTGCAATCATGGAAAGACTTCATGCGACGTTGGGTGAAGGCTTACATTATGTCTTATGATGCTAAGGCACAACTGAGTGTCCTAGATAAAACTTCTAAAGCTGCTAGCGATATTTTGAAGGTCAAGATCTGTATTGTCATTTCCAAAATATCCTTGCCCCTCCTTACTGCAAGTACTGTCCAAGTTTATGTCATAACTGATGTAGAATTTTTCTTATATGAATTTCATGCAGAGTATGACAGTAATAGCAGATGAGGCTGTACCTAGAGCTGCTGAAAATATTGCACTGGCCATTGGTGCACTCTGTGTGGTGAGAAGCTTTTTCATGGCTGTGCACCCATTTTTCATTTTTATAGATTCAGACTAGTTATATTCTCTGCAATGTTATGGCATGTCAACATTTATAAGCCATTGTTGGGACAATGGAAATATAACTCCATGGGTATTAACAACGCTTTAAATGAACAGTTTTACAATATCGATGGTCTTGGAAGTAATTCAGTCTCAGATTGTTGTATTGTATATTCCCCTATCCAATCCAATATCTGTTGTAGTAAGTAGTAACCAATCCATAGGATTTCATTTAGAACTATGCTTAATTATATAAGTATTGAATTAGTGAGCCAATTCTCTAATAATCTTTTTGGTTGGTAACATATAGCATAATAGCATTTGATTGTTACAGTCTTTGACATTACTATTGTCAGGTTTTGCCTCCATCTGTTCACACTGTTAAATCTGCTGCTTCAAAATTTCTTTTGGAGTGGTTGCTCCAACACGAACATGAACATCGCCAATTGTCTGCTGCAATTTCTCTTGGATTGATCTCAAGTTGCCTTCATGTAACCGATCATAAAGAAAGATATCATAACATCACAGGATTTCTCGAGGTATTTTTTTATTTCTTCTTTTTGCCTGTATGTTGTCTATGTTTTTGAAGATATAGATAGTCTTCTTTCTTACATTTTGATATTGAAAGAGTTTCTTACTCTGCCTTCCATTTCCTTAGCTTTTACTAGTCACGTGAAAACTCTTAGGAGAATTAAGTTCAGGTTCAGACCTCTAAGGAAAATGAAGAGGGCTTTGACATACATATTACACACATATGCACACTCACTGAGAAGCTAAAAGCATTAATTGTGAAATATATCCTGCAATTTTATTGATTTGGTTCATTTTGAGAGGAACTAACTAATAAGATTATCTGGCACCGTGTTTCACTGATTTTGTGATCTTCCAGGTACTTTTCGTTAGCAGAAGTTCCCTTGTTAAAGGAGCATGTGGTGTTGGATTGGGGTTTTTGTGCCAAGATCTTCTTACCAGAGTTGAAGCTGCTGATGACTCTACTGTCAAAAATGAAACAGAAAAGATTCCAGAATCTGAGTTACTAGGAAAAATTGTTGGGGCCCTAGCTACAACGATACAACAGAGAACCAAATGCTCTTCAGATGCTTTGGATAGTTTATGTTCATCCTTTCCACTTGGTTATGATGTAAATGCTGACGAATTTGAATCGTCCTCCGAGGATAGAGACTTGGAAGAAGATATATGGGGTGTTGCCGGACTTGTTCTTGGTTTGGCTACCTCCGTCAGTGCATTATACAGAGCTGGAGAGTTAGAGACTGTTATCAAGATTAAAAAAATGATAATATCATGGCTTCCAAACATGAATTCTCTATTTCAAAGCTCTGATTTGCAAGGGGGAAAATCTGATATTATTTTGGCATTGGGATCTTGTATTGCACTTCCCACAATAGTGACTTTTTGCCAAAGAATGGAATTGATGGATGATAATGAGTTGGAACATATTGTGCTTGGCTTTAAAAAGTTTATTTCTGAGTTAATATCTGTGAAAGAGTCTGGTGTTTTGCACCATAGTTTACTGATGGCGTCGTGCATTGGAGCTGGGACAGTAATTTCGTGTATACTGAATGAAGGTGTTCATTTTGTTGAAGTTGAGTGCATTGGAGCTGTTCATTCGTTATGGATTTTATTGTTGGCTCCTGTTGTACCCTAATTTTTGACCTAAAATCCCACCTCATATGCATCATTGCATCTCTAATAAAATACAAAGATAGCTTGTGCGTTTGCTTCTTGTGTCAAGCAGGATTTTGAATCAAGAACTCTTCATTAGTGCAAGTCTTGACCAATTAGGGCTTGAAGACATTTCCAAAGATGCAATTGATAAATAGTGGAAGAATTAGGGTACAATAGGAGCCAACAATAAAAGCTTTTGTACTATGCATTGGAACCATTAATTTTTAAATTGCTTCTCAAACAAGTTCCAAACCTTATGCTTCAAACTGATCAGTTTCAAACCCTAATGCTCTCCTATAAATAGATATCATTTATGCACTTCAGACACAAAATTCACAACCTCAAAACCTCTCAAAACTCTCTCAAACTCATAATTGCCCAAAAACTCTATTTTTGAGCTTTAAAGAACCTTATATTTGAAACTCATAATCCTTGCAAATTCCTTACAGTCTAACCATTCATACAACTTCTATACCTCATATATAAGTCATTCAAACCCTTATTGCACATATGTAACACCTCCACCATCATCTTTCATATCTTACTTTTACCATTTGCAACTTGAGTTGGTTAGGGAGATTCATAAGGTTTCAAGGCAAAGTAGATATACCATTAGCTTCCAGAAGGTTCAAGGAAGTTCATTGCATCATTATATTTCATCTGGAAGTATTAGAAGAAGCTTTGGACTTTCTCCAAATATGTAACTTTCTCTCAACTTCGAATATCATCATACATACATTATTGGTGTTTGGTTTTCGAAGCAAAAATGTAGATATTAATACGGTGAACATAACCCCTAAACTAATTTCCATTAATCACGCTTGTATAAAGATTTTTCGTTTGATTGAAGTTTGTTAGGTTTCTCTGGTTTTAACAAAAATTAATAAGATACAGTTAATATAAATTTGTGTTGATTGTATTTCTGAAATCCTTGGAAAATTTCGAGCAAGTTTTATGTTTGAATTTTTTAAAATGGTTGAGTTTTGAGAAATTTGTGAAAATTGACATTGATATTGTTGTCGTTGTTCATTCACGAGGAAGAATAAGGTGGGGATGACGCGCAAATTCTATTTTAAATGCTTGGTTTATTTTAAATTTAATGCAAGTCATTTTGTAAATGGATAAGGGTGTAGCAACGTTGGTTAAGGTGTTTGTGTTGCAAGCGAGAGAGGACTGGTTCGAAACCTAGTGTTAGACAATTCCTAGCCCTTTTGTATTTTTCATCATTTTTTCGTTTTGTTGCATTTTCAGTGATTTATTTCAAATTTATTTTTGTGGATGTATTTACTATCACCACTGAGTGCATGGCCCAACGAGTAGTCTTTTAACCAATTACCTTAAGGGTGCAGGTTCAACCCTTTCTAGGCCCTTTCCCAATTTTTTATCACTTGTTTATTTTACCCTTTTTCATCAACTTTCAACATAATTTTCACATAGCAAAATTAATCCTTTTGAGCTGATTTTTTGTGTACATGTTCATTAGCATATGTATTTTAATAATATTTAAAAAATACCAAAAATAAGTTTTATTTTTTCACTTTATTTTAATTCAAAAACTTGTCTTATATACTTTCTTTTAAAAACTTTCTTTGATTTTGCTTGTTGATTTTTTGACAATTTCCAACATGTTTGACCTTACCATGCCATATCTTGATGCTTTCTTGATAACATAATCCTTGTGTATTTTTGTACCATGAAAAACTTGATTTTAATTAGGTTTAGGCTTGACTTTTTAATGTTTAATCATAACCTGTACAAAAACTCTAATTCATTATCCATGACCTATACTTTTAATTATGATACATGTGCTTGTTTGGAACTTGTTGTTTACTTGATCAATGAACACTTGAAGCACTTTTGATTAAAATTATGACTTTGTCTTCATCATATATCATGCATACTCATAACTTTTGATAACACGACTTAAACTTCACATGTTTGCCATACTTTGATCTTCTTGATTATTTATCCATGATTCATAAGTTTACTTGTCTTTAAGGATGTATTTCCTTCATAAACTCTCTTTAATCTAAAGTAATGCTATACTTGCTTGTTTGTTTTGACACTTGCTTGTTTCTTCTATCTTTTGTCACAATTTTTACTTGATAAGCATGTTGACCTTTCCCTTTGTGTTTAACACTTGTGATGCGTGTGTTTGCTCTTATGTTAGTAAATCAATATTTTTTTTATATACTTGTGCCCCAAATCAAAGGAAAATGGTAGTATTATTGACTTTATAGTCATATGCATATGCATTATCTTAGGTTTACCCTTGTGTGTTTATATTTGTATATTACCCTTGTATTTGTTGATATTTAACACCCTTGTAAATGATTACCCTATGTCTCCTCATATACTCTAAAAAACCCTTTTAACCCTAAAATTCATTTTTAAACTTTCACCACTTTCATATAAAAACCTTGACTTTGTGTCATTGCATTTTCAAAACTCTTTTTCTTTAATAAACACTTTAATATACTTAAGCATATCAAAACAAACTTCAAAAGACTAAAAGTGATTCAACTTCACTCAAATATTTTTGCCACTTGACTTTTTCAATTTAAAACCCTTTCTCAAAAAAGATTAGATATAAATCTTCTTTATAGTTGAGATATTATTCTCCTATTCCTATAGTAATTGTTGAAGTAAATGTGATTCTTTCCATATGAAGATGTTAAATGGAAACTTGTTGATCTTTATATCCAAGTTAGTAGCCTTTCCTTCATGATGATGCAAGATCCATCTTCTCATATTTGTGGTGGTATTAGTTGAGCTTTGTCCCTAAAAGATGATGAAAAGCCTTTTTTTTAAAAAAAAATCAACCACAACAAATATTTTTGTTATTTTTACCATGAACTACGATGTTTTAATCCTTAATTGATACGTAGATAAAAGACTATGTCTTTTCAAACAAAAATTAATAAAAATATTTTCTTTTCTCATCACCATACTCATTTAGCAAGCAAACAATTTAAACCAAAAACAAATATTATAGAAGGTTCCTATAGAGTATTATAGATACATAGAGTGCTAATACCTTTTCATTGTATAACCAACCCTCATACCTTGAATCTCTTTCTTATATTTTGCTTTTAGTCTTTACTTCTTGCATTGCATATTTAAAATTAGGATTTCAATCTTTTCTCTTTTTCTTGGAAACAATAAAGTTCAATGATGACTTCTTAAATCATTGTGAGTCAAGTTTCTTAATAGTTTGGTCACCTCGATATTTCGGCGCGACAACTCCATGAATGATCTCATGCGTCTTGGATCCATATTATAGATTTTCAACATTTTGTTATTAATAAATATACAAAGAAAACATATTGAATCGCTTAACGATATGTATTCTTCATCCACCTCCCACACATCATTTTACCTCTCCCATTTAACCCTTATTCAAGTAATTAAAACCCAACCACCGTTACATCAACATCGCGATCTTGCTGTAATTTTGTTTCACACATCATCTTCAACGAGGGGAAATATAATTTGAGATCAACAAACTTAAGATCAGGATATTAAATAAAATAAAATTCACTTATTTACAAATTAAAATTGAAACTCGTGTCTCAAATTAGAACATATTAAAATATATAAAAAATCAGTTCACAATGGTGATCCATGTCACCGCTATGCTTCTTTTCCCCCTATTATTGTGTATTATTGAAAGTATGCTTGGCTTGGTCTTTAATTAATTTGGTCGAATCACCAACAATTCTCATGAAGGATGTAAAGAAGCAATTTCATCACCTCATGTTCATTTGGTTATTTCACATGATTCTGAACTTCATGTAATGTGAGCCAGCATCTCATCGATCTTCTAATTCAGATAGATGCAGTATTCTTGCAAATACACAGAACTCGTTGCCTTCAACCTCTAGAGTAATAAAATAAGTTAGTCAAATCTTAATAAACCAAAACTCACAACGTCAACTTAAAATAAGTTAGGCATAATAAAATACATTTTATTACAACTAATTATGCTTACATGAAAATAGAATTAAAATTTCATATAATTTTGGTTTCAAACATATATAGTAGTAGGTTAGGATTTTACATTGGCTCTTAACCAAACATGTTCCATAACTCAACTAACTTGTATACATTTTTAATGATACATGATGACATTAGTAATTGATAAAAGTACATGTTCTTTTATTATTTTAATTTGAAGTTCTTTATCATAAAGGATGAAATAAGTTTATTTTTCATGACTTACCTAATCAAATATTTGAAAACAATTTATAGGAAATTCATTTGATGTGATCAATGTGTATTATTTTGATAAGAAAATATTGTGTATTATAAATGCATTTAAATAAAATTTGTATACTTTTTTATGTCAATAGAAAGTTTGTTAATAAGAGGTGGAAAGATTATTTGTTGAATATTATACTCTTTATTTTACATGTCTATTTCAGTATTGCTGGAAGTTAATCAACATTGGTAATGTGAAACATTTTGAATTTATATCCTTACTTTGATTACAAAGTATTCCCATTATTTGATTCAACTGACCTCTTATTTATTGATAAACATTACTTTATAGAATTGATCGTATCTGATCAGAAGAGATCGTCAAGGCCTACGAGTTTTGAATTGAGTGGTGGTTGAATGTGAAGTAAGGGAAGGGAGGGAGGAGGGTATCTGCAAGACACTTCGATATCAAAGTAAGGTTCATAGTAAGTGCAACTAAAGCGTGAGACCTGACTCTCTCAAGTGAGAGAGTATTTATAGCCCCCAGCGCTGGGCTATGGTCCCCATATTGGGCTGACTAGGCAGGCCCAAAATGGAGACTGTCAGGTCATAGGTGTGTAGTGGAGGCTATCACGTAGTCTCCAACCTGAATGGACTCCTCTGAATTATCAGGAGGACGTGGATGCGGTCTTTTCGGGGTCAAGAGAACTCTGTGATATTTGGAGGCATTGGATGCCCGCTCTACGAGGAGGATGCTCCCGAGGACCTCCTGAATTTCGT